CGTGGCTCTGGGACCCGGTCCCGGCCCAGACTGCCACCCGCCCCTCCTCGGAGCCTCAGACCCAGTAAGGGGGCGGGCGTTGAGCCCCGGGCCCACGTCCTGCGCGGCTCTAGACACCTGGATTATCCTCGTGGGGGGCTTGGGTGGGAGGGAGGGTAGGTGCGCTTACGAGCCGAGAGCTGAGGTGCGGTAGGGGGTGGGGTGTCTTCGAGAAGGGAGCATAGCATATTGAGGCCGCTGGACACCTCCTCCACCCCCAGGAAGGTGGACAGGGGCGGCGGGCAGCCAGCCGAGGGGTTCCTGCTATTGTCCTCACTGTCCTCAGCTCGGACTCCTTCTGCATCCTTTCCCAGCCCCTGCCGGACACTGGCTGTGACCCCGGCCACTCCCTAGAGGTGTCTGCAGGGGACCTGGAGGAGCCAGAAGGAAGGGCTGGCTCCTCCTCGCAACGAGGAGAAAGCCTAGGAGAGGGAAAAAGGGTGGCCTGCCCGCTCTCATTTGCTTCCTATTGGGAGCAGGAAGCAGCTGGGATTGGTCCCAGAGCAGTTAGCCTTCTCCAAAGCAAGGGTGGGGCGGGGGCACCTAAACACTGACCCCCCCCCAAGAACAGCTATGGTAAGCCCTCCTAGGCTGTATCATCGTTGAGACTGGGGGTGCCCATGCGAAGGCTAACTAAGTGTTTGGAGAGGCTAGAGGGAAATCAGGCTGAGGTGTGGGGGGTAAGGAGGACTGTGGGGAGCTGAGCTGGGCTGCTCTCTGGGAAGAAGGAATGGGCTGTGGGTGCTGCTATCAGAGCATTTTGCCTGGAAATGAAGAGCATGTAAATGAGATGCAAATTAGCCTCTATTGTCCCCAGCTAGGGCGCTTTTGCTAAGAAGGCTGCAAAGCTGTTTGATTCTGAAGGTTTTCATGTGGGAGTGGTCCCTGTGCCCCTGCAAACTCTCCTTGTCACCTCTTCCCCCTAAGGCTGGTCCTGAAGCTCTAGAAGTTTCTGGCTAGGAACCCTCCCTGACCCCTGTGCTCACATCCCTGGGCCGGCATCAACCCCACAGGGGCAGCGCCTTTGTAACCAGATTCAGTGTCCAGGGCCCCACATCTTCCAGAGAGGCGTCTCCCTGGCATGATCCTCAGCCGCTGGTCCTAAATTTTCACATTTACTTTCAAGGGAAGTGACATGGGAGGTAACTGTCTCTCCCCGTCTTCTGTCAGGTCAGAGGTCGCCTATTTCCCTCAGACCCCCGCAGGAGTCCCCACCCCAGGTAAGGAAAGGGCAATGGGAGCAAGCATGGCCAGGGAGCGGGATGAGGGTCTGGCTCTTCTCCCCATTTGCCAGAGAACAAAGTTGTTTCCAAGGTGAAAATACTAGTTGCCCAGGGCAACTTGAGGTGGGGGGGGGGCAGCAGGGGAGGGTTAGAGACAAGCTGTGTCCCTTTTTCTTCTCTGGGGAGCTTCAGCATCCGGAAACATGGTGAAGAGGAGAGGGAGGGAGGCTTGGCCTTGCAACACCAGAGGGTCGTTAGCTGGCTGGCTGCTCTGCCCCTAGGGAGGTGGGTCATCATTAGGTGTTCCAACCCCTTCCCCTCCTCCAGGTCTCAAGGGACCCCACCTGACGTCAGCCTTCCCACCAGTGATGCTGGCCTGGGGGGCACTTGGGTTCAGGCTCCTAAGAGTAGAATTGCTGGAGAAATGGGCAGGGGCTAGACATGGCGAAGCCTCAAGGTCTCCTCTCTAGGAGCCGTGGTGGGATGGTAATCAGAGTGGTGTGGGATTGCTGTTCACAGAAAGAAATGATTCTCAACCCTCCTGACCTGGTTTCCAGAGCCTCACTTCAATTTCAGGGGGAAGGCAGGAAGCTGGGGTCACTTCTCGCTGTGGGGCTCAGCCAGGTCCTCTGACTGTGGGAGGCTGATGGGTGGGAAGGAGGCTTGTCTCACCATCCTTTCCACCGTTTCCATCTTTTCCTGGACTTTGGGCTACAACTGCCTGTCTGTCATTGAATTATTTATATTTCAATTGCAGAGGCTGACCGATGAGGGAAGGAAGGGAAAGAGGGGCATATGCAGCCATTTCCCCTCTCCAGTACAGCCCCTTCTATTCCTGGCTCCTTATAAGGGTGGGTTTGCTCCTCCCCCCCACCAAGTACATGCTTTGGTTCTCAGGAGCCAGGGAGCAAGCAGGGGGCTAGAGAGGCTGGGAGGGGGCACAGTGGTCGGGAGACAGCTGCAACCAGAGCTAAATTTAGCCTCTGATCTGGCTTTGATGCAGATGCATTTTTGGCTAAGACACCCCTCCTGACTCCCCTCCCCAGCACGGGAAGGGCCCCTGAAGCAGAAGCTGACATAGACCAGGGCCTCGACCCCCAGGCTGCTCCCCTCCCTGCTACTTTTGTTCCTTCCTCAACCCTAAAGAGGAGCGTGGCTGCCTCCCAGCTGCCTCTGCCCGGGCGCGGTGCCTGCACGGCTCCCAGGGTGCTGTGGGGGTCTGCAAGCGTGGGGGAGGCCGATGTGGTGCCCTCTGCTTCCTCCCAGTGCCAAGGAGTCACTATTTATAATTTTAAGGCTTCAGTATCTAATTATAGCCGAGAAAGGGTTAGCAAGAGGGGGGCCAGGAGGTGTCACCTACCTCATGTCCCAGGCCCAGTCAGGAGAGAGGAGGAAAGCAGAGTGAGAAGGCCAGGAGGGAAGCGGGTGTGTCTTGTCCTTACCTGGGGTCATCACCAGCCCTCCTCCCATCAGCCAGTTGGAACTGGAAGGGTCTTGAGTGATGGTGACAGCCGGCAGGGGGCCGGAGGCAGTGCCAGAGAAAGGGCTCTTCCACTCCCCTCCCCCCCACCCGCAGGGTCTTCTGGGGATAGACCAGGGAAGGAGCCTGCTCAAGTCAGGAGGCTGGGGGGGGGGGATTGGCTCCTTTCTCACTTTTCTGTCTCTGTCTCCCCATCCAGGGCCAGCATATGGGTGAGGGGGCACCCCCTGGGGCCTGAGCTGCCCCGCACAGGATGCCCCGCGCCCCTTACTTCATGCCCTTGCTGCTGCTGCTCTCTCTGCCCCATACCCACGCGGCCTTCCCTCAGGACCCCCACCCTCTGCTGAGCTCAGACCTGCAAGGTGAGTCCCCTGAGACCCTGCGCCCTCTGTGTGAGTGAGCTCAGCCCTCAGTCAGAGACAGTGCAGGAAGGCAAAGAAGCTGACAGGCTGACCAGCAGGGGAGGAACAGGAGAGCTGCAGCCTCAGGCCGGTTGGTCGGTCGCCTCTCATCCCGGCCTGGTTTCATCATGTAGAGGCAGTATCATGTGGCAGCGTGGCTGAGAACATGACTTTCAGCCAGACCAAAGCTTAGCAAGTTTGAATCTCTGCGAAGTTTCTCACCAACTGCATGACCTTGATCGAGTCATTTTACCTCTCATTGCCTCAGTTTCCTCATCTGTGAAATGAGAATAATAATAGTATTGTGCCTCAGAGAGCTATTTAGGGATTAGATGAGGTAATGCAAGCTAAGTGTTGAAAACACTGTCTGACATAGATTAAGTGCTTTATATATATTTGCTATTATTATTATTAGCAGCTACAAAACGAAAGCATGAGGCTGGCTTTGGAGTTCCCAGCACCTCTTAGCTCCCTCTCTACCACCTGTGCCGCCAGCAATCCTCAGCCCCACCATGATAAAGATCATTAATCCACTTTTCCTGACTGGCATCTTTGTATGTAGAACCCCTTTATACATGCATGTAGGAATGGGAGTCGTGTTGAGGACGGAGATTACTGCAGTCGGGTTGCCGGGGTGATTGTGAGGGGATATTAAAAATAGCAAACATTCCCATGTGCCGGACAGTTTGGAGCACTTTACGAATGTTAAATCATCTCACCCTGAACTCTGGGCTCCAGGGTCAGGGTAGGTGGATGCTACAGTTGGTCAGAAGGGACAGAACTCTGGGGGCAGGGCTGCTGGAAGTGTCAGGGTCTTGCGGGGAGGGTGTAGAAGGTGTTGGGAGAAATGGGGAGGGGAGGTTGTGGCGAAGTGAGAAAGTGTGCCATGTGGGAGAGGGGGGATTGTGGTCCAAGAAGGGATTATTGGTTTAAGGTCTAGAATCATAGAGAACCGGCTCTGAATCCTGGTGCCTGCCCCTATCACGGAGCCTGGTGGCGCAGCTGGTGGTTGGAACCCAGTGGCGTCTGCGTCTAGAAAGGTTCAATAAAAACAAGCTCACTGCCGTCGAATCCATGCCGACTCGCAGTGACCCGATAGCACAGGCTAGAACTGCCCTGGTGAGTTTCCGAGACCGGAACTGTTTAGGGGAGTCACAAGCCCAGTCTTTCTCCAAGGAGCAGGGCCTGGTGGGTTCAAACTTCAGACTTGCCGAGCACGGTCAAGCATGTAACCACGGCACCACCAGGGCTCTTCTTTAAAGATGACAACCTTGGAAACCCTCTGGGGCAGGTCTGCTCTGTCTCACACAGTCACTGTGAGTCAGAAGCCACCCGACAGCAATAGGGTTTTCATTTCTGCCACTTTCCAGTTAAATGAGTTTATGCAAGTTCCCTGATGGCTTTGAGTCTCAGGCTCCTCATTTGTAAAATGAGGCCAATGTCCTAGGGTTGGTGGTACATGGTAACTGAAAATAACATCCCTACAGGAGGAGCCCTGGCCTACAGCGAATTAAGCCCTCGGCTGCTGACTGCAAGGTTGGCAGTTCAATGCTGGCAGCTGCTCCGAGGGAAGTCAATGTGGCCATTGGCTTCTGGAAAGATCACAGACTAGGAAACCCTGTGGGGGAGAAGCGCTAACCCAGTGCTCGATGAGATGAAGTGCTCCCGGCTAACTGCTAGTTTTGTTACTAGTTTTAGGGCACCTCACACCTACCCTCGTGTATCTACTACGTCCATAGCGTGTTGTCCCCTCCTACCCTTGTGTGGTTGCAGAAGATATTGGTCTCCCATTGTTGTGGTATCCTCAGCACCCCACCTTTCTTTGCTCTCTAGGTACCTCCCCATTATCCTGGTTCCGGGGGCTGGAGGATGATGCTGTGGCTGCACAACTTGGGCTGGATTTTCAGAAATTTCTGACCTTGAACCGGACCTTGCTAGTGGCTGCCCGGTAAACTGGCTGAGGCATACGTGTGGGGAAGATATGCATGCTCCTGGGCAGACATGGGACCTGCATGGCCACTGCAGCATCTTGCAGGTGCACAGGCCACGGGACATGGGCATGCCTGGACCCAGAGCATGTCGAGTAAGGGGGAGGGCACAGGGCAGGCAGCCCATGCTGTTGGCCTCTGAGGAGCTGAACGTGGACTTGGAGAAGGGGAGGACTCAGGAGCCCAGGTGGAACCCTGACTTGGCTCTGACCCCTCCTTACCCACCCCTTCAGGGATCACGTTTTCGCCTTCGATCTTCAAGCCCAAGAAGAAGGGAAGGGGCTGGTGCCCAACAAGGTAAGGGGCTGTGGGGACAAAGGGTAGGCACGGAGATAAGGCTGGGAAAGGTTGAATGAGGGTTAAGTGCGTGGGAAAAAGGACCCCAAAGGCGCCGTCCTGTGAAGTGATTTTCCTCCTTCTCCTCAGTATCTGACATGGAGGAGCCAGGATGTGGACAACTGTGCTGTACGCGGGAAGCTGACGGTGAGCCGCCGGTGGCCCGCCAACTCCAAGGGGAGAAAAGGGCTTCCCTGCTCCAGGCTCTGTCCAGGCCTTCACCATGCCCTCGTTCCCACCCAGCTCTCCCAACCTAGGCCTCAAAGGAAAATGGGAGTGAATCATGTTTAGCATTCTTTATATATACCGCAAGAGACACTGGTGGCATCGTGATTCCTCATTGGGCTGTAACCCCATGGTTGGCAGTTCAAAGCTACCAGCCGCTCCGTGGAAGAAAGATGAGGCTCTCTACTCCTGTCAAGAGTTAGTCTTGGAAACCCACAGGGGCAGATCTACCCTGTGTTATAGGGTCACTGTGATCTGACATCAACTCGATGGCAGGGAGTGAGCAAGTGATAGGCACTTCCTAAGACACACATACACCTGAGAAATCGGTATTATTCGTCTCAGGAAAGGAAAGTGGGTCACAGAGAGGTCTGAGGATTTGCCCAAGGCCACAGTTAGTGAATGGCTTAGTTGGAACTTGATCTCCAGTTGCTCTGACTGGCTCTAGAGCAGCAGGCTTCCTCCCTGTGGCCTCTCATCCCAGCCCTGGACCCTTGCAGCTGACCGGGGCTCTGGGGTTCTCTAGGACGAGTGCTACAACTACATCCGTGTGCTCATTCCCTGGGACTCCCGGACGCTCCTCGCCTGTGGAACCAACTCGTTCAGTCCTGTGTGCCGAAGCTATGGGGTACGAGGGGGGTGGTGGGAAAGTCTCTGTGGGAATGAGGGGGAGAGCCTCAAGTGGCCAATCACTGTGATGGGCAGGGACCAGGCTCTGGGGTGAGGGAATGGGAGTGTCCAGGGGGGGACATAAGGACATGAGGAAATCGCTTATGGAGCCAGACTTCCTTTTCCCTCGGCCCACAGATAACTTCGCTGCAGCAGGAGGGCGAGGAGCTCAGTGGGCAGGCTCGATGCCCCTTTGATGCCACCCAGTCCAATGTAGCTGTCTTTGCAGGTATGGCCCAGGGCCTGGAGGAGGCAGGCATGTGGCTGGAGGGGGCTCCCACTGCAGAGATCTTTCCCAGCTTGCTCTCCCCTCATGTCTCTGAGTGGAGCGGGGAGGCAGGGATTGGGCCAAGCCTAGGTCCAGGAGGAACTAGGATGCGGATCCCTAAGCCTGGCCCTAAGCTTCCCCCCGCCTCCCCGCGCCCCCTCCCTCCATCCCTTTCAGAGGGCAGTCTGTACTCAGCCACAGCCGCGGATTTCCAGGCCAGCGACGCTGTCGTTTACAGAAGCCTTGGTCCTCAACCCCCACTTCGCTCCGCCAAGTACGACTCCAAGTGGCTCCGAGGTCAGGGCGGGCCTTGGGGAGGGAGGCTGCTCCTGGGGAGCAGGGTGAAACCTGTGGGGGGAGGGGGGCAGGGTACGTGTGTAAACTGGTCGAGAGTTTCTAAGCTGGTGTAGATACTCTTCCATACCTCTTCCTGTCCCTCCCTCCCTCAGAGCCTTATTTCGTCTATGCCCTGGAGCATGGAGACCACGTCTACTTCTTCTTCCGAGAGGTCTCTGTCGAGGATGCACGGCTGGGGAGGGTAAGGAGGTGGGCATCACGGATGGGGATTTGGAAGGGTCTGCTGTATTCCGAGGCGCCTGTTCAGTCAATGGCAAGATCTTGACCCTATTTGCAGCCCCCAGTCATCAATCTGCTCTGTAGCCTCCCGACCCTAACCTGTGGCCCAGACTGACCCTCCACATCGTGCCTTTTCTGTGCTCCAAAACGGGGCCTCCTAACGTGACCGCAGGCCTTTCGCCCAATGGGTCCTGACTCTCCCTCCCCCCAGGTGCAGTTCTCCCGTGTAGCCCGTGTGTGTAAGCGTGACAAGGGGGGGTCCCCTCGGGCCTTGGACCGTCACTGGACTTCCTTCCTGAAGTTGCGGCTCAACTGCTCGGTCCCTGGGGACTCAACCTTCTACTTTGATGTGCTCCAGGCCTTGACCGGGCCTTCAACCCTGCATGGCCGCTCTGCTCTCTTTGGGGTCTTCACGACTCAGACCAATAGGTTGGTACAAGACTGACTAGTGTGTCCCAGTGTGTCCCCTTGCCCCACCAGTGTCCATGCTCCCCTTTCAAAGACTCTTGATGGGGGCAATGAAGGGAAGCTCCAGGCAGCTAGTTTGCGTTTTTTGGCCACCTCTTTGTGCTAGCCAACTCCTAACGGCTGTCTCCCCCACCCCCACCCCCACCTGTGGTACATGAAGCCCAGCTCGCAGTGACCTGGGAGGGACTGCTTCCTTCTCCCACACCTAGCCTGCATCCTTTTCTGGCTCCCCTAGCATTCCTGGCTCTGCAGTCTGCGCCTTCTATCTGGATGATATTGAGCGTGGGTTCGAGGGCAAGTTCAAGGAGCAGAGAAGTCTGGATGGGGCCTGGACCCCTGTGTCTGAGGATAGGGTGCCCTCACCCAGGTACCTAGGATGGGATGGGCTTGGGGACAGAAACAGAGTCTGTTCCCAAAGTGGGATTGTGAGGAAGGGGTATGGTGTGCAAGGCCTAGGGAGGGGGGCTATATTGGGTTAACATGAGGAGAGCCCAGGCCCACTGCCAAGGTCAGGTCCTGAGAAGGGGTGGACAATGGATTGGAGGGCTGCCATAGAGAAGGGAAGGGTGGGGTGCCTGTGTATAGGAGGAACAAGGGTTGGTTACGATCATGTTTGGGAGTTGAAATGGGGCGGGCAGAGCTGACTCAAGCCAGGGCTCTAATGCTGCCCCTTCTCATGTGCCCACCAGGCCGGGGTCCTGTGCAGGAGTGGGTGAAGCTGCCTCATTCTCCTCTTCTCGAGACCTCCCCGATGACGTGCTAACCTTCATCAAGGCCCACCCACTGCTTGACCCCGCCGTGCCACCTGCCACCCATCAGCCGCTGCTCACCCTCACCAGCAGGTACGGTGGCCCTCCGCCCCCTAGCCCCGCTCTTTCGTCTCTCACCCCATCAGGTCAGTGGCACAGGTGAAGGAAGAACTTACGAAAGCACAGGGAAGAAGCTGAGGCATGGGGTCGGGGCCGACACCTCACTTTCCCCTGACCCAGGCCTTTCCCTGCAGGGCCCTGCTGACCCAGGTAGCTGTGGATGGGATGGCCGGTCCCCACAGTAATACCACAGTCCTGTTCCTTGGCTCCAACGATGGGACAGTACTGAAGGTGCTACCCCCAGGAGGGCGACCTGGGGGAACTGAGCCCATCCTATTGGAGGAGATTGATGCCTACAGCCCCTCTCGGTGAGGCTTATGGGGGACCGAGCTCTCCTTCAGGCAAGAGTGGGGTGGGAGATGGCTGGTGAGGTGGTGGTAGTGGTGGCCTGAGAACTCCAGCGTTGACTTCTTGGAGTGGGGATGGGGGCTGGCGCTTGAAAAGAAGACTGGAGACTGGTGGGGCAGGGAGGCCCCGTGGATTGTGTCCGGCTGCTATTGCTCATCTTCTGCTGTCAACTCACCCACCTGACTCCTTCTGGCCTCACCCCAGGTGCAGTGGGAAGCGGTCATCCCAGACAGCACGGCGGGTCCTGGGGCTCGAGCTGGACACTGAGGGTCACAGGCTTTTTGTGGCGTTTTCTGGCTGCATGATCTACCTCCCTCTCAGCCACTGCACCAGGCACGGGGCCTGCCGAAGGTGAGAAGGGTCCGAGACCAGGCCCTTCCTGGAAAAGCTCCCTTGGTCTCCAAAGAACACAGGTCTCAGGGGAAGCAGAGGAAAGGGCCGCTTCTGCCTCAAGCATGTTGGACCAGGGACTGGGGTAGATACACTGGGAATCTAGGGCCGTTTCAGCCTCAAGCATGTTGGACCAGGGACTGGGGTAGATACACTGGGAATTTAGGACTAGGAGCCTCTTGGTGTCAGGTGAGAGTGAAAGAGACAGGAGGGTAGAACGGGATTAGTGGTAGGGGTCCCATTCTCACATGACTGTTTTCCCTAGGAGCTGCCTGGCTTCTCAGGACCCATACTGTGGTTGGCATAGGTCCCGAGGCTGTGTGGATATACGGGGACCTGGTGGGTAAGTGAGGGACCCCTGGATCTCCTGAGGAGAAAGGTCCCCATCACTAAGGAGACACTGTGGGCTAAGGTAGGGGGATGGGGCAAGAAACAGAACTGCACTGAGCCATCTCCCTTTCCTTTTAGGGCTGATGTTGATCGGGTTGGGGACCAGGAAGCCACAGAGGATGGTGACTGCCAAGGTAAATTTAAGGGGCAGCTGCAGATGGCACATGGCTCTGGTGGCCGCTGTTTTATCTAGGACTGTTTGCTGTAACAGAAGTGCCACAAGTGGATGGCTTAAGCATTTGTTTTCCCAGTTTAGCAGGTTGGGGTGGTGGGTCTAGAGGAAGGCTTTCTGTCAGCTCGGTGGAAGGCCCTTGTCACTTTGAGCTTTGGCTCTTGGGCAGTCTTCATGTGGCTTGGGGTCTCTCTTCCCCCATGTATGCTTGCTAGTTTGTATTTAAATCTTTTACATCTCAAGAGATTGACTCAAGATACACCAGACTCAAATCTGATTCATTTAACATTATATTAAAGACAACTCCTTTAGTTGGTAACTAACTTACAAGCATAGAGGTTAGGATTTACAGATATTTGGGCGAGACTCACTTAAGTCCCTACGGCACAGACACCATCTGGTGCTTCAGGAACTCATGCCTTTCGAGGTCTCCTGTGGTGCAGGAGTGGCCCCAGCAGTTCTTCATGAGGTTTCCCCTCCCCGTCTCTCCCTGCTTTACAGATGGAGCTACTGGGAGTCAGTCTGGCCCAGGGGATTCTGCATATGGTAAGTCCTCTTGCTTTCCCTTTCCTTACTCAGTTTCCACTCACCCAAGTTTGGGCTCCACCATGGCAGCAGACCAGCACCCTAGACCCCCTGAGAGAAATCTCAGGACATGGGTCTGCATCCTTCAATGTGCAGGACACATAGTAGGGTGCTTAATAAATAGCTTTTAAACAACAAAGTGAATTACTCTCCTGCATGACGAACCCTTCCCCACACCCACAGGCAGCTGGAGTTCAAGAGCCCTGGGTTGTCAAGGTCGGGGAGAAGGGAGGATCCTGCATGGGTGTCAGGGGTAGAAAGCACAGGCCTCACTGGCTCTGACCTGGTCTCTGTCACCAGTGCTTCTGGGTCCTGGCCCTTCCCCTGAGACCCCCAGCCCCCTCAGTGATGCCCACCCCCGGCCCCAGTCTTCCACTCTTGGAGCTCACACTCAGGGTAAGGGGGCTGGCTGGGAGGGGCAGGAGTGAAGTGTGTGGCTGCTGATTCTTGGGAGAATCCTAAGGCCGTCGACTGACTGACTGGTGTGTGGTGCTCGCTAACGCACGTTTAGAGCTTCCCCTCCCCAAACAGATTTGACCATCTCAGCTCTACCTCCCGCTCTTGGCATGGCGACAAAGCCAGAGCTGAGAGGGGGCCTGCCCCTGCCCCCCAGTCCAATCTCTAGCCTGTGTGTGAGGCAGAGTGTGATGGGCTGTGTGTGTTGGGGGGTGGCGGGAGGGGGCTGAGGCGGGCCTGATTCCCGAGGAAGGTCCAGGCTCTGGAGTGTCGCTGAGCCAAAGAGCAAGGTTAGATGTCTTCCCAACTTGCCCGGGCCCCCATTGAGGGACTGCGCACCCTCCATCTCCCGCTGAGCCTCCCTCCTTCCTCTCGGTCGGCAGGCGTGCGCCGGGACCTCCTCCCAGCCTCGGCCTCCCGTTCCGTCCCCATCCCACTCCTCCTGGCCAGCGTGGCCGCAGCCTTCGCTCTGGGCGCCGCGGTCTCTGCCCTCCTGGTCTCCTGCGCCTGCCGCCGCGCCCACCGACGCCTGAGCAAGGACATCGAGACCCCAGGGCTCCCGCGCCCCCTCTCCCTCCGCAGTTTGGCCCGGCTCCACGGCGGGGGCCCAGACCCCCCGCCGCCGTCCAAGGACGGAGACGCGGCCCAGACGCCCCAGCTCTACACCACTTTCCTGCCTCCCCCCGAGGGCGTGTCCCCACCGGAGCTGGCCTGCCTGCCCACCCCAGAGTCCACCCCC